AGAAGCTAAAAAAAAAATGTGACCAAAGAACTTTTTACGACAAGACAAAAATTAAAATATAGATATACTATTCTATCATTTAAAACAGTTTCCAGCAGTGCGTTATTGCAGTACATTAAACTCGTTAATTAGGCGTCTTTTTCGAGATCAGTTGCAGTACTATATATTGCCCAATATGTGTCCACTGACCTCATATGTCTTTAATGCAAATTAATGTTCAGCATTTGTTGAGTTTCACAGATGTGCCTATTTGTTGTACCCCATACAGGTCCCGAAAGAGAAAAAAAGTGTAACAAAAACACCAAACTCCAAGGTAAATTCAAAAAGGGGGAAGTCCATAAAAAATGATATAATCAAACGGTGGATTAAATCTTTTTTTATAGCTAGCTAATCATCCAACTAGAAAATACAAAACTGATAACTTTTCATACCAGCAAATTATATTGCATCAAATGTACTGAATGTATGGAATGTGTCATTGTGCTTTTTAAGAGATTCTCAAAACATTAGGCGGTTCGTTTAGAGCAAATTTCATTAAATGGAAAGCATCTGTATGCAATTCTTTTAGGAATGAGTTACGTCAGGTAAAAACATTTCACTAGGAATGAGTGTCGTCAAATACTAGTATTTAACTAGGAATGAGTTACGTCAAATACTAGTATTTCACTAGGAATGAGTGACGTCAAATACCAGTATTTCACTAGGAATAAGTTACGTCAAATACTAATATTTCACTAGGAATGAGTTACGTCAAATACTTATATTTCATTAGGAATGAATGACGTCAAATACTAATACTTCACTAGGAATGAGTGACGTCAAATACTAATATTTCACTAGGAATGAGTGACGTCAAATACTAGTATTTCACTAGGAATGAGTTACGTCAAATACTAATATTTCACTAGGAATGAGTTACGTCAGGTAATAATATTTCACTAATTATGAGTTACGTCAAATACTAATATTTTACTAGGAATGATTTACGTCAGGTAACAATATTTCACTAGGAATTATTAACGTCAAATACTAGTATTTCACTAGGAATGAGTTACGTAAAATCCTAGTATTTCACTAGGAATGAGATACGTCAAATACTAATATTTCACTAGGAATGAGTTACGTCAAATACTAGTATTTCACTAGGAATGAATTACGTCAAATACTAGTATTTCACTAGGAATGAGTACTAGTATTTCACTAGGAATGAGTTACGTAAAATCCTATTATTTCACAAGGAATGAGTTACGTCAAATACTAGTATTTCACTAGGAATGAATTACGTCAGTTACTAGTAATTCGCTAGGAATGAGTACTAGTATTTCACAAGGAATGAGTTACGTCAAATACTAATACTTCACTAGGAATGAGTGACGTCAAATACTAGTATTTCACAAGGAATGAGTGACGTCAAATACTAGTATTTCACTAGGAATAAGTTACGTCAAATACTAATATTTCACTATGAACAATTTTTGTCAGGTATAATATTTCACTAGGAATGATTTTCGTCAAATAATAGCATTTCACTAGGAATAAGTTACGTAAAATATTAGTATTTTAGTAGTAATGAGTTACGTCAATAACTAGTATTTCACTTCGAATGAGTTACGTCATATACTAATATTTTACTAGGAATGAGTTACGTCCAATACTAGTATTTCAATAGGAATGAGTTACGTCAAATACTGTTATTTCACTAGGAATGAGTTACGTCAAATTCTAGGATTTCACTAGGAATGAGTTACATCAAATACTAAGATTTCACTAGGAAGTAGTTACGTCAAGTACTAATATTTCAATAGGAATGAGGTACGTCAGGTAATAATATTTCACTAGGAATAAGTTACGTCAAATACTAGTTTTTCACTAGGAATGAGTTCTAGTATTTCACTAGGAATGATTTACGTCAAATACTAGTATTTCACAAGGAATGAGTTACGTAAAATACTTGTTTTTCACTAGGAATGAATTACGTCAGGTTATTATATTTCACTAGGAATGAGTTTCGTAAAATACTAGTATTTCACTAGGAATGAATTACGTGAGGTAATAATATTTCACTAGGAATGAGTTACGTCAAATACTAGTATTTCACTAGGAATGAGTGACGTCAAATAGTAGTATTTCACTAGGAATAAGTTTCGTGAAATACTAATATTTCACTAGGAAATCATGTCACAATTTGAACTTAAATGTAATTTCAAATGTTTAGATTGGTGGCTAGTGCAGCGTTATAGGAATACTGCCAAAATTACTAAAGTGCCAATTTTTACAGTAAAGCCATTTTGACACAAAACAGTTTTCCGAAGCAAATGCATGTTATTAGGTATTTTAGAAAGTTCAAATGGACAGGTGATGCTTTTGACACTTTTAAGGAATATATACGTATATCTGTAAAGTTTAAATGTTGTATCCTGTTAAGTCGGGCATCTTTGGCTGCATAAAACTCGTCTCTCTGGATAGAACAGAAGTGTCTGTTTGCAATCTTGACATCAGTCTTAAGGAAAAATTTGTCAGTTCTTTTAGCACATTTCAACGGAAAAAAATGTTTAAATGGGTAGTTTGCAAAACTAAAAAGGATATTGTCATCGTTTTGAAATAGAATTAGAATTTCTACCTTAAATTCCAATTTTCTGGAACATACATATCAAAGGATGACATCTATTATTTATTAGTTAAGGGTTTGAGAAGGTTTTCAATTTAATTAGTATCTCGTAAGATACAAAATATTAATTTTCCTTGACCAAAGACTTCTAAGTCTTATTACATATACGGTATACTAGATTAAAATACTCAGTTGATATGTTCTCCTGACCTAAACTTTTGCATCCCATGCACGGATAAAACGCGTTGAAGGATATCACGGACACTTTCAAAGGCTTCTTATGCATAACATTAAGGTAGATGGTGGGTCTAAATTTCTCTCCATAGAATTTTTCAATAATTTGTCAAAATGTAGTTTATATCATGCTTTTTTCAAAAATATATCACCAGGCTATTTTTCACCCTACAGGTTGTGCAAATTTGTCAGATATTGTACAGATTATGCATGGAAAACCCAATTTTGTGTGATAAAAAGAAAACTATACCATAGAATTTTAAGATAAAATATGAGAAGATAGCTCTAATAAAATTGAGAATGGAAATGGGGAATGTGTCAAAGAGACAACAACCCGACCATAGAGCAGACAACAGCCGAAGGCCACCAATGGGTCTTCAATGCAGCGAGAAACTCCCGCACCCGGAGGCGTCCTTCAGCTGGCCTAATATGCTTTCAGATAAGATTAAGAAAAAATGGGGTCACCGGACTCGTTTTCTATCAACATAATAAAATAGGTAAATTCACAACACATTCTATTATAAAAGATACTTTATCTGAGCTGTCATTCCTTATATCTGAGTTATCTCCCCTTATGTGGAAAAAAAATGAATCAAACAAAAATATTCTGTTTTTTGTAAAATACAGCCGTAAATATGATACAACCCATAACTTTCTATATTAACATGAAAAGTCTTATACATGAATTACATACTACTCTCTAAATTTGCACATTTCCTTAAAGATCTAGACCGATTGTTATCTGCTATTTCAAAATCTAAGATGGAGGAAGACACCCCAGCTACCTTAAATCTTTTAGGAAAATAAATTAAACAATCAATAATGTGATAAAAATAAAATACATATTATTATACAACTTGCCAAACAAACAATCTTATTAAGGCCAAACACACTCAAATAGATGTAAAAGAGAGGCTAAAGGTACCAAAAGGGACATTCAAACTCTTAAGTCAAAAATAAACTGACAACACCATGGCAAAAAAAGAAAAAGACTAAAAGACAAACAACAGAATATAAAACAGAACATAAAAAACCAAAGACTGAGCAACAGGTAAACATTTAACTATTTTCATATTTACATAGAAACTTTGATTCATTTATTTCTAAGTGGTTGATAACTTTCATTACCATAATTGAAATTGTACCTTATTTGAATCATGAATAACAACCTAGAAAAACTTAAATTGAAACTTAGAATTTGAATTTTTATCTTTGGTTTCTATAGATATAGTGTTTTTTACAAAAAATATGCAAAATATCAGTCTACTCTTGCTGAATAGGGAAATTTCACCTGCCATCATTTGATTTACTCACTGGGATGAAATCGGAAAATGGTATTTGAATATTAAAGAGTCTGTATGTTTGAACGGAAATTGTAAACAATTTTGAACAACTAAATCAAGTAAATAAAAAAAGAGAATACTAGGCATTACATATTGATCTTGAAGACAATATTGCAAATTTTACATGTTTTTAAACATTTTGCATCGAAAGACGTCTCTTACAAATTAAATAAATTGATAATCGATCGACAAAATATCGTTTTTTCTTATAATCTTGGTAATGGTTAATGATGTTCTTCTGGATAAATACTCTAAATTTGTCCTTTATAATGTCATAAACGATCAATTGTTTTTAGATTGGTTGATTGATTGATTGATTGTTGGTGTTTAACCCCACTTTCAGCACTTTGACTATATCGGAGCGGCCAGTTTTTATTGGTGGAGTAAACCGGAGGAGACAGAGATAACCACAGACCTTCGGCAGGAAAACTGGCAATCCTATTCTTACTATTCAGTTAAAATTAGAGTCGAACGCACCTGCCAATGTAGGGCTCAAACTCACAACCTCAGTGTTAACATGGTAGTGAAACAATGGTGGTCTACTTAGACCAAATAAATTATGCCTAGTAAACATATATTGTCTGATAAGATGGTTATTGCAATGTTTTACCTTTGATTTGATAATGTTATACATGCACGCGTTCAGCTGTTAAATGAACTAATCAATTTATTTGATAAATTAGGAGTTGATATCGTAAGTATATATTATTTTCTATATATTTTTTTATTATAACACATAAATTGAACGAATATTGACATATATATCAAACTAAATATCATTTTTATATACATATGCACATTCATGGCTCTACAATCTGTCAATAGCTGTATCTTGGCATTGCACAAGGTCATGTTTTTTCTAACTGTTTATGACGTCTCCACACTTAATCCATTGGACGTTGGATGTGTACTGATTGATATTTTAGTCTTAGATGCATGATTTTTTTCTATCAGTTGTTTTTGGCTTTGAACTAGCTGTCAGTAACTGCGAGTACTCTCAGATCTGTACTTAGTGTCTTTTTGTTGTTGGGATGAATAAGTACCCTGCCACGTTCACTCTGTGTTTTTGTTATATGTATTTCTGCTTTGTATTCTTCTGATGAGTTAAGCCCTTTTCTTATTGGTATTTGTTCTTATGTTGTACTGTTACACCACTGTCCCAGGTTAGGGGAGGGTTAGCGCCTTCAAACTTGTTTAACCCCGCCACATTCTATATGTGCCTGTCCCTAGTCAGGAGCCTGTAATTCAGTGGTTGTCGTTTGTTGCTGTATTTCATATTTGATTTTCGTTCATTATTTTGTACATAAATAAGGCCGTTAGTTTTCTCGTTTGAATTGTTTTACATTTGTCATTTCGGGACCTTTTATAGCTGGCTATGTGGTATGGGTTTTACTCATTGTTGAAGGCCGTACGGTGACCCAAAGTTGTTAATGTCTGTGTCATTTGGTCTCTTGTGGAGAGTTGTTTCATTGGCAATCATACCACTCTTCTTATTTTTATATATGACATAAATCCAGTTTACATTGACTTATTTTAAATGAATATACATTTCCACATATAATATCAATAAAAGAACAACGTTCCAATGTCCCCGATGATGTACACATTTTATCAGTCTGAAGGCAATAATTCCAACAAAAACGCACGCTTTGTCGTTTAAAGCATACCCATACTCTTTATTCAAAGTTACTGAAAACTCTTCACTGCCGAGCTGTTGAACACATAAGAAGCCATTTTGTTCAGTAGTACTAGAAAACTGTGTGACGGATCATTTGAAAGTTAATTCAACATATTGAAAAATTTAAAGTATCATCAAACAGCATGTAGATATCACACAGATTCCAAAAGTGTTCATGACCGGTCGAACGAACCCACAGACTAGAAAACAAATGGACGGCAGCCCGGTTTTTCTGTATCTCATGCAAAACGTTATGGCGGAGGAACAAAACTATTACAAAGTAAGTAACTATTAGCACAATAATCATTAAAGTATTATTATTCATGTATTATATCAGAAGGCTTGAAACACCTGTCTTCTTTAAGACGATCATAAACATTGATTTTTTTATTTACAAGTTTTTCATTTTTGATTCGTGTACACAAATCACATATTGCTGTCTTGAAATTAAATGCCCAGTTTGTAACACTGTATGAATGTTTCTTCTTAAGATAAGATGTATATTCTTTTTCGGATGAACCAATCTTTGCTAGAAATGCAGCAAGCTGTTTTGGAGACGTAAAATTACTGGTTGTAATAAAGGTTCCATCAGGAAGGACTGATGCAATATTTGGAGCTCCACGAATTACTGGTAACATCATATTATCATCTTCAAATATGTCATATACTTTTTCGGAAACGTAATTATTACACAATGAATTTTCAAAAGACAAATAGAATTTGTAATTTTGGCTAATATATGACTTACATATGTTTAGATCGCTTGATATTTTCACTGGATGTTGTTGCTGACAACTCAAGTTTCCACATCCACCATAAATATCTACCTGAATATATTTTTGTAATTCTTTCACATATTCCTTTCTTTTGGAATTAGTTTCACAGTGACTTACTATCCATGCTATTTCTTTTTTTTTCTCCTTAAATATTTTAGTATAATTCAGTTTATTCCGATTTTCCTTTTTAGTCAAAACTCCGAATGGTACGATAATATCAGATCCAGGTCGATACGACATCACCCAATCAAATTTTGACATCGACTTTGTCCAGGCAATGTTCGTAGGAGAAACCATGTAAGTAGGTGATTCGTTTGTAAAATAAACCCATATTTGGCCAGCTAGTTTTTCAGGTGGAGGTTTTATAAGTGTTCTGAAGAAAATAACTACTTTGCTCATATTGTAAAACTTAGAATCACTAGTAAACAAACATGTTGTACAACCCTTGTCTTTTATGTTAAATGCTGTAAACCAATCTAAAGGGTGTTTTTCGTACATAAATATAGTCGGTATGGTATTGTCGTTGCTTGATATATTAGCTGTGTTATCAAAAACATATTCTCTCCTTGTACAATTGTGTGCTACATACGTTTTTCCAAACGGCGAGGTAATATTTTTCATGCCATTTGAAAGTTTGTTATCAGGATAAGTGTACATCAATCTTTGTAGTATTTCATGGATATACGGGATTTGATCATATTTCCCGATAATGAAATTCATATAATATAATGTAGAAAACATCATAATGGCAACCAAAGCTTGCATAATCCGCCGATTCAGTTTCATGATATTTTGTCTGTAATAGAAATAATTTGAAAACATAAACAAATGTAGTTAGATAGAAGATAAACCTTCTATCCAAGGTTTATGGCTTTAAAGTTAAGACATGAAAGTATACGTGTAGCCTCCACCTGCAAAAATAACAACCTGAAGCAAGCCAAAAAAAACATTGTTTAGTTTCCCCTGATCGTTGTGTTCGACCTCTTTAACATTGGCTTCCGAACTACATTATAGTTTTGATATCAACAAATTTGACATCATAAAACATACCAGTTACATGAAGTATAATGTCTATTGTTTATTTGAACATGTAAAAATCTGAATACATTGTTTTAAGGTTAACAAATATATTATCCTCATAAATTATTTTGAAAGTTACCAGATGCTTTCGACTAATTCAAAGGTTTTCATATCTTGAAGACTGATAAATATGTTGTTAATTATAAACTTATTAATCTATGACTGTTATCAGATAGTTCCCGAAATTTCTCCTAGATTTAATGGAAGTTTGAGATGTACCGAAGAATTTGTGAAGAAGGTTTTACCTTTTATTTTCCTTCATTTTCAATCTAATTAAAATTAGTTCTCCGCACTTGCTCCTAATTTTCGTTCGGTTGTTTATATGTCACGTGCGACATATAAACAACCGAACGAAAATGAGGAGCAAGTGCGGAGAATTAATTAGGTCTTTCCACTTTTCCGTGGAAAGACCTATTGAATTTGTTCTGATTATTATTTTTTTTTTTGTTCTTTCGTCACTATTATTTCTTGCGTATAATTTTTCTTTCGCAAGATGTCGCTTAGATGTTTGGTATATGATATCACACAGTTTATGCGCCTTTGACACTGACCCTGCTTAACCGAATACTTTTCTTTGTAAGAGTTATATCCCCGACTTGTGAGTTGATCTCCTCCGTAACAGTAAATGAAATCTCCACATTTATTTTACCAAATTGATCTCATAGCCTAAGGATGTTTTGTCAAATTTTGACCGAAGCAATACGAAGACTCCATATGAGAGTTATTTCTCCTTCTGTATTTGACATAAGTGTATCACATAAAAAGAAAGTGATAGAGACCTTATGTTTTTTTATTTAAGTCCTTGGTTCACAAAAAGTTTGAGGTCAAGTTCAAAGGTCAAGTTCATGTTCTCATTTTTTACTTTTTCCGGTTTTTATGATCTCCTCTGACACTTTTAAAGATATATATAAAATAACTAGACTAGTGCAAAATTTTTTCTAAATTGTGATGAAGATACGATACATTTTGGTTTGAAACAATCCAATGACATCTTATAGGAGTTATTGCCCCTGAAATGTTTTAATTTAAGGTTAATTGATTATTACTTCAACTTGGTACACTATAAAGCTTTAGGGTCTTTTGCAAAATGTTTGGTTACATATTACATTAAAAATGTCAACCGAAAGTGACCTTTGAGTAAACCGGAAGTAGCCATGTTTGAAATTATTTCATGGAAGAGTACCTAGAAACCATATATCTTTTAATAGACATATATAAATCTATCATTTGAGACCGGAAGTGACCTTCAATAAACCGGAAATACCTAGTTGTCTACCTTATTAAAGGCAACGGTATATAGAAACCATATATTTTTGGAATCAGTGTAAATACAGCTATCATATCACCGGAAGTGAAAAGACCTGATATTGTTCTCAAGAGGATACATAGGCGCGTCGTTTAGGAAATTTTTCAGAGTGGTTTATGTTCGAAAATCTGAAGTTATGGTAAAAAATCTGAAATTGACAAAATGAGATTATTTTAGGGAAAGATGGCACTTTAAGTTAATATATGTCTCATCTACAAGTTCGAATATAGTCGTTGCCCGTCACAATCTCAATAAATTGGTCCAAAAGTAACTTTAATTGTCTGTCTTTTTATGTGTATATATGTCCTTTCGTTCGCCTGTCTGTCTGTCCGTCCGTCTGTCCATCAGCCCGTCCGGTCTTATGAGCGTGTAGAATTCTTGCCATATCTTTTATAAAATTGATATCAAAGGTTAATATTAGCAATGACTCGGACAAGTCCGAAAATCTGTGCCAAACAACTATTTTAGAATGTGTTATGATCCCTGGAAATATAAATTACATAAAAAAAATGCATTGTAACACTCTCGAGCATTCGTTTCTTTTAGAATTGTTATGAAGGTTTATATCAGCAATGTCTGGGACAATTTCGAAAATCAGCGCTGATCAAGTATTTTCACAGGAGTTATGTCCCTTAGAAATGTAAATTCTATAGAAAATTGCATTGTAAGGCTCTCAAGTGTACAAATTTTGTCAGATATTTCTGAAATTTATATCAAAGGTTTACATAAGCAAGTTCTTGGCAGAGTGCTTACCAACTATATTTACGGGAGTTATGCCCCTTTGAAATATAATTTAAATTAAACATTGTATTGTAAGTACTTCCACACGTACATTTCTTGTCGAATTTTTAAAAGGTTTATATCAAAGGCTTATATCAGCAAAATCTTTGAAGAGTGCCGACCAACAATTTTTACATAAGTTATGCCCCTTTGATTTGTACATTCGTATGTGTTTTAAGATGGCTTTATTTCACATTTTTGGGTTCAGTTGACGCATATATATTGGTTGTTTTTGTATTCTTTTTGGGATACCGGAAATACCTACTGTCTTTTCTATTCTTGTCTATGACCGCCTGCGTAATAGGTAAATAATTGAGCAAATGAATATGTATTGTCGTTTTACATTTGCTATCGAGATAGGTGTTAATCGATGTTGATATCCTACATAAGTAGTTATAATTAAATTAGAGTCGCATATGTTAAGGTTTTTGAAATACAAGCTGTGTTCACATTGGAGATTAAGTGACCGTCAATGAATAGACGTTTTTAAGATTAAATAACTGAGCCATTTTAGTGTTATTAAAAAAGAGCAAAGTCTGTTAAAACGACGATTGAAATTCGGCGTCTAGGAAAGATGCGATTAAAAAAGGATTTTCTAAAATTATTCCTTTTTTAAAATTAAAATAGCAAAATTGGAATTACTATTAGAAGTCCTTCACTTTAATTGGTAGACTATTGGAACAAAATATCCTTTATAGTTATCAAAATACAAATTAAAATAAATAGAAAATAAATTTAAGAAAAACAAACTGAACCTTAAAATCGTTGAAATGTGTAAAATGCAGATATAAGATGCTACGACCAAACATTTTATTTTTTAAGTTATAAAAATATTTTTAGCGATATGATGACGATTCTGGAAGAATAATTTAAATGTTTGGGCGTGATATGTCTGTGATGTCGGATATTATGCATATGCAATAGCAGTGATGAAAAACTAATACAGGGTCAGAGATAAAATAACGAATGTCTTTTAGAGACTGAGTGATGATAGATAAAGTCACAGATAAGATAAAGAATTTCTAATTGTACTGTATTAGGCTCTACATTTTTATCAAAATATAAAGAAGGAAAACAAAAGCAATGATAAAAGACAAACTCAATGACATCAGACAGTTAATTCCCTCGTATGAATGGTTTTACATTTGTCATTTCGATGCCTTTTATAGCTTACTATGCGGAATAGGTTTTGCTCATTTTTGAAGGCCATATGATGACATATAGTTGTAAACTTCAACGTCATTTGGTCTCTGGTGGAAAATTGTCTCATTGGCAATCATACCACATCTTCTTTTTTTTATTATAAAGAAACCATATTAAATTTTATTTTAAAATGCAAGTTAACCCTAGAAATTACGATGAAATTTAAATGCACCTTGTATGTGTGTGTTAAATGCAATAAATATATGTCATATCGAAACAGTTAATAAAGAATATGTGTTTGAGTACTTAAAGTAATACTATAGATATGAAACGATTTATAGACACACTAAGTGATATTCTTTGTGGTATGTGACACCCTCCTCCCTACACACACAAAATCAGATTAAAAATTGAGTAACAGGTGTACAACTTCATGTTGCACCTAAAGAATGGTCAGTGGAAGTTTCTGGGAAGTCCGTCAATTTGCTTTCAAGGGGTTGAGGCAATTTGTATTCATAAGCGAATTTAGAGGGTCTAGTTGACAGAGGCCTGGAGCGTTTTTGGCGACAAATCAGGATATCTTTACAAATTAGGCGATACAAAAACGGTTGTATTCATAAGCAAAAAAAAAAAAAAAAAAAAAAAAAAAAAAAAATTCAGCACAACTTAGAAACAAATAATTTTTCTTATAATCAATATCCGTATTCAACAGACATGCGATTGCAAAACCAGGATTTTTAAATTGCGTACTGTTTCCTGCTTCCCTCTGTCTGTCACATAATCTTATAAATACAGCAATTCAACAATGGCTAATTTACAAAAGGACAAGTTATGAAATGAAAAAGTGAGATTTGTTTGAACAAACTGATTTAAGTATAAAATTGAGGTTTCAAACTGTTTCTACTCTGAAAGCCTGATTGAAGTTTGTTGCCTTTTGTACAAATAGATTGCGATAAACCATATCATGATTATTATAGCCAATGACCAAATCATTTAAACCAGTGTAATTGGTTTTCCAAAACGGTTTTAGTTCGGGATTAACAAATAGGAATATAGCTCAGGTTTTTGAACTATTTTCAAACTGGCTACAAAAAAAATAATCCTTAAACTTTTTCGAAACAAAGACTGTTTTCACATTTAATGTCAACTTTAGCCAGGAATTACCTCTAACTGCCAAAACAACACCTCAGAATGGAACATACAGTGGTTGCCTCCTATTTATCCTGTATTATTATCTATCAAAAGAGAGGGTTGAGAGAGAGAGAGAAATGATTTCTTTAACAAAAAAATATGTCCAACATTGAACAGCAGTTTCACTCAGAATCCATGTTAGTTTTTATACATCTTTTATAAAAAAAAATTGCATCTTTATATATAACAATTATCTGATCCTATATACCAAACAGGCATTTAGGTTCACGATTGCATTTTTTTTTAAGAAAGCAACGTGTTGAATATTCAATAAGAGCATTCCAAGGATATATTCA